TGATAGAAAGATCGAACCCGGGCAGCTTTCCCGCGCCAGCTCTTCGGGATGACCTTAGAGAGACAGCCGGCCCTCTGATCTGCTGAGAGGCTAGCAGGACACACCGGCATTTATGTGCAGAAATCCAGGTATGTGTTAGTTCGACTGGGCAGCTTTGTCAAGAACCACAGGAGCCCTCAAAGCTCACCACCTGCCTTTCTAACGCCTCGCCCACCGCCGCCGTAACAACCTGCTCCTGACCTGTCAGAAACGGACGCCAGACGACATTTTTCCAAAATCTCTTCGCACATGTGGACTTCTCACCTGTCCCTGGTCCTTTGGCTCCCTTCCCACCATCGTAACTCAGAGAGACGTCCTTCCACAGGCGTCGCTGAGGCGTTCAGCCGGAACCAGGGAGCCAGTGACTCAGACGCGGGCAGGGCGGGCTGGCTCTGCCTTCCTAACCACAGCACGGCGGTCCTCCCGTGCACTCCTCGCCTCCTGAGCCGGGCCCCCACGGCTGCGCGCTCTCTCTGTCTCTCTGGTTGTGCTCCCTGCCTTCTCCTTCTTGCTGGGAATACACAAAAGGCTTTTTATTGTCTTGAGTATTTTCCACCGGCCTCAGCACATTCTGGCCCCTGGAGTTCCTGCCCCTCCTCCTGAGGGGTCGGGCCACTGGGATCTGCCTTCGGTGTCACGCACAGGAGCGGCGAGGGGGTCTGCTGCCCCCCGCACTCACCAGGCAGCAGCCGGTGGCACCCAGCTGCTTCAGTTCTTCCCCTCTCCCACCATCTTCCTCTCCTCAGGGCACCATGCAGGACTGTTCCGTCAGCATTTCCTTCTTAAAAAAGCCATCCTACCCCTCCAGCTAACTTCCCTTTTAGAGTCTGTGGCCAGGGGGTTCAAAACTTGTTGAAAAAAAACAATTGTCTCAAGTCCATGGCAAGCACGTCTCCTTGTCCAGCCTTCTCTCCCCCCGCCTCCCCACGCCACCTCACACGCCCCCTTCCCCCCCCCCCCGCCCCCTGCCGCACAGCTGCTAAGAGGGGGTCCCTTCCTCTAATGTCTCAACACTTCTTCTTCACCCATCAGCTCTCCCTTTGCTGGGGGACTGGATCCCGCCTCACAGCCTCTATCTTCAGGAAGACAGACCTACCAACTGATGAGGCAAGCATCCATCAGGTGGTCCAATATTGCTGGGAGATCCCTAATTCCAAAGGATCTTGTCTCAAAATTGTGCTGAGAGCAGTTTCTAATAATACATGGCTGAGGGTGAAGACAGTGTCTCTCACACCATATATATATATATATATATCCCCTTTCCATTTTCACTAAAATTCTCAGTCATGCTTCCACCCTTATGCATACGTTTTTTAATACAAGTTGTTTGTTTGTTTTTCCCCAAAGCGTTCACTTCCCTCCTCCATGAGCAACTTTTCAGCCAGGACCAGAGTGGCTCCTTGCTCCTGCTGTCCAGCCTCCGCCCCAGCAGAGGCCGGCAAACTGCTCCTTCCCTCTGCCCCCCGCGATTCTTCCATGAGCATGTGCGGGAACGTCTGGAGATAAACATTCCATGTGAATCGCATCTTTACAATTACAAAACAGAGGCTCACCAATGCATAGTTGTTGATGCACAAAGATTAATTCTTTTCTAGATGTCCTAGGACTGTTCTGTCGCCATCCACTGATGACCTACTATGTGCCGGGCTTTATGCATACTTTACCTCAATTCTCACAACAAACCCTGCAAAGAAGGGTCACCCCGCCTGACAAAATGAGAAAGCCGGTGCTCGGGAGAGGGCTTCGGCTTCTGAGGTCCCTGTGTCTCCACACCCACCAAATTTGACTTTCCTAACCCACTGTCTCAGGAGCCCGGGATCTAAATCCTTCCGGAAACTAGAAAGGAAGACGGCGAAACGGGAAGGAACCCCTTCAGGTGTGTTACCGCCTGCCTCGGTGGGAGGGCCCACTCTGGGGGCTGCTTCACGTGCTGAGCTTCTCTTCTGACAGGCCTCCCCAGCACTGCCACCCACCCTCCCACTGGAAAAAGAGGAGCAGGGAAGGAAGCCGGGAAACCAAGATAACGGTTACCCACTTACAGGATGATCCAAAGCAGCTGTCGACAGACAGCGCAAAGGAAGCCGGGGGAGGTGGAGACAGGACGGCAGGAGGAAAGGGTGCCCAGAAGAGGAAATACCAGGCAGCTGGGGGTGTTCGGAGATGGTCTGGTTCCTGAGACTCCTGGGATGCTGTGTCCTGCTCCACCTGAAGAGGGTGGGTCCAGTGCTCACGTTATATTCCTGAGCCCAAACCAAGGAAAACTCCGAGGCCAGGATCGTGTCCTCTCCTTTCCCACGCCCCCAGGCCTGGGACCTGTTCCTCTGCTACCCGGCTGCTCAGATGGAAGGGTTAGGGCGCTGGGGGCCTGGGAAGTGCTGGGCTGCTCCCATCAGGCGGAGCCTCTGGGCAGATCAGCTCTGCTGGAGGTGCTTCCACTAAATGGACGCAGCCTGGCAGTGGCTCTCACGACTTTGGCCTTCACAGACCAATAAATATTATACAGCCACAAGGAGACAGGCCCTGACCAAGGAGCTCAGCTGGTTAGGGCGTCGTCCAAGGTTGTTTATTTGGTCCCTGGTCCAGGCACATACAAGAATCAACCAGTCAATGCATAAATATGTAGAACAACAAATCGATGTTCCTCTCTCTCTCTCTCTCTCTCAAACAAACAAAAACATATTCTAAGTTGAGGATTAAAAAATGAAATTTTTTAAAAAATCATGGAGACAGGTTAATAGTTGTCATTTTGTACTTTGCTTAGTAAAGACTTCTTTTTTAAAAACAATCAACTTTCTATCAATACCTTCATTTCATAAAAATAAATAAATTATATATATATTTTTTTATTTTTTTTTAAAGCACATTTGAAACATTAAGGAGTGGAAGGACCTATTATTAAGACAAAGTACTCCTCTTTAGGCCAAAAGAAAATTAGCTTTAGAAAAAGCTCCCTCCATTGTCTCCTTTCCATTGTTGCTCCAGAAACTGGGAGACGCTGTCCGGCGGGCGGCATGCGGACCTTCTGCCCCGGAGGGGACTCCGCAGGCCAGCAGCACACTTTCCCTGACCCGGCGGCTGTGGCCAGGTCCGCAGGGATGCAGACGTCTCTCACAGGGCTGTCCTGAGCCTCAGCCAACCCAAGTCCCGGTATCGGTACCGTAACTCCGACCACCCGGCAGCTCACACCGGGAAGATGGGACTCTGGCCTCCCTCCAACCCCCTCCCTCAGGCATGCCTCATCGTTGCCAGAAGAAGAAAAAAAAAGAGCTTAAACTTGGTTCACGAGGACCACTGGTTCCAGAAACATCCAGCCTAGAAATAAAGCTCAGGCCCCCACCTCTCAGGTCTGACTACAGGAGGAATGGAGTGAGACTACAAGCATCGGAGGAGGTGAGCACTGGAAGGGAGGGAGGGAGGGAGGGAGGATACCCACCCAGCTTTACAGAGTAGACTGGGCAGGTTCTCCTCTCCCCCAAACACCAGATCTCCTGCCCAGGAGTAAAGCTCAGCCCCGATCCCACCCCCTCTCAGAGATGGCCCCGGTCCAGCAGATGCCGACTCTCCCAACACCAGTCACAGAAAGGGGCTGGACGCTTCTCCCAAGTTGGGCTGGGAGCGGCAGATGTGATCCAGATGTCTGCGTTCACCAGGGCACGGCGTCTGTGAGGCCCAGACCGGGATGTGCTGCTTCCACTGGGAGTGGACAAGGCGAGGTGAGAGGGAGCAGAGCGTCCCAGCAACACGCACGTCCCTGCCCCCAACACGTGGACTTATCCTCCACCACAGGTCCACACCCCCCAAGCCCAGGGCACCGCTCTGCACCAGGCGGTGAGGAAAACCCCAGCGCCGGCCGCCGGTCCATGGAAGCCACAGGTGCCCTCGCCCTCACGTGCACGCCCGCAAACGCACGCACGGCGGCTCACAGCTGGAAAGGGCTTCCCAGGCCATCAAGCACAGCCCCTCCATTTCCCCGAGGAGAAGGCAGGCCCAGGCGGAGGGCTCCGTGGCAGAGCCGGGAGCGCACGGGCAGCGCAGGCCTCCGCCTCTGTCCAGCGCCAGTCCCGCTGCCTGAAGCGACCTCAGCCGCCGCACCGCGCCTCCCGCGCTGCTCCTGCCAACTCTCCGCTGGGGCGGCCGCCACTAACCTTGTGGCAGGAAAAGATGGCCAGGGCAGGGTCACTGCCCCTCTATGTCCCTCCTTTGATCTCATCCCAGCTCCTCCTTCCCTCCCGCAACCAGACTGCCGCTACTCCAAATAAAGGAGTGCTCCTTCCTGCGGGTGACAATGTGTCAAAAAACGTGTCATTCATTCAATTAGTAACTGAGTGCTTCGGATACACCAAGGCACGGAGCCAGGTCCTGAGACAGGGAGATAACAGCCGTTGACTTTTAAGATATACTTTGTAAGGGAACCCAAATCCTGGTTTTCCCATAAAATTCCCTGCCGTCTTTCTGAGGAAGAAAAAAAAAAAAAAAAAAGGTACTCCCTCCCCAAAAAAAGGTTTATGGAAAGAAATATCCTACTGCATCAGGGCACCATAAAATCATAAAACCACTCCAAATTCTTCTTTCCAAACCCACCCGCTTCCATCCCTTACCAGACACCACCACCACCCTGCACATCCCCCAGGCATTGGTGTGACCTTGAAATGCATCCGAGGCTCCCAGCAGGACGAGAAACCCCTAGAGATTAAGCTGGCTATCACTGTCCAGGGACAAACGCAGACATCAGAGATGAGCGTGCTCACTCTGGAGTCCTCTGCGACCCAGTTACTCTCTCTTATAAATGATCAGCCCGGCCAAGGAGCCCACGCCGGCTTCCAATGACACGCGCACGCCACGCGGGACCACGAGGCTCCAAACGCGCGGAAGGACCGAGCTCTCTCGAGCCAGACCCTCGGGAACCATTCAGCCGCCCCGAGGAAGGGACAGGGTAGCCAGACGCGTGCAGGCCCGCTTACCTCCTTGAGAAGCGCCACTTTCTTCTTGAGCACCTCACACTTGCGCAGCTTGCAGATCTGGTGCGTGCGGCGGTTGGTACAACTGGTGCACGCCCCGCAGTTGGCGGGCCGCCGGCAGGGCTCACACGTGCCGCACCGTTTCCGCTTCTTTCGCCCATCCCCGCCCCCTCCTCGCAGCGGAGGTTCGCTCCCAGCCATGGGAAGCCCAGGCCCCTGGAAGCCCCCCACCATGACCTGGCCCTGAGGAAAGTCATAAAGGCCCGGCAGCTCCGGCTGCACGGCCAGGGGCACCTGAAACTGGCTCATGCCGCTGCCAGACGCCGGGGCATAGGTGCCTGGGCAGAGCCACTGTCCAGCTTCCAGCCTGCCCGCCTGCCTGCGAAGGCCACCCACACGTCCTTCCTCCCTAGCACAGTCACGGTCCTACAAGGCGGAGGCTTGCAGCTCCAGTCTCTGGGTGAGTGCCTCTTCTCCACCGTCTTCACCTCCTCCGCAGCAGTCCGGCGGGGTTCGGCTGGGGGCCGCTCGCCCACGCGCTGGGGCCCAGGGTCTGGAGCAGGACGGCAGCAGCAGCAGCGCCCAGAGAAGGGATCATCTTGGCCGGGAGGGCTCCTCACCCTCACCCGCCCCGGAGGCAGGCATGAGGCGGACAGGTGTGTGGCGGGGGCAGAGCAGGGCGAGTTTCTCCTGATGTCAGGATGGTGGAGGCAAGGCTGCCTGGAAAAGACAGAAAGGGGAAGAAAGTAGCATCACCTGGGGCTCAGACAACTTTCACGTGTTGCCTTTTCCTGCAGCTGGGAAGAGAGAACATGGGGGAAGAGATGAAGGGCTGGCTCCATGAAGTTCTGCCCAGAGCCCCCTGGCAGGGAGCACGGGCACCCACGCCTTATCTGAGGGTGGAGGAAGCGAGGGTTGGATGGGGTGTTGTTCAGGAAACCTGGGCGACGCATGGGAGGTGGTGATCAAGGTGGTTTATAAGAAAGTTGTTTTCTGCCCCACCCCCACGGGCCGGAGAGTTTCCCCCCAATTCCCACACACACACACACACACACACACACACCCCTCGCTGGAGGTCGCTGGGGCCTCCCCAACGGGAGAGCTTGCAGAATAAAGTTTGCAGAGAGCCGCGCTCGGCGGGGCCGCCCGGGCGCCCCCTGCACGGAAGCGGCCTAGGAGGGGGTCGCGTGCAGGCTCTCCCGCGCCGGCCGCCCCTCCCGCCGCCGCCCGGTCCGGGGATGGGGGCGGCCCGTCCCGCCTGAGGGGGGTGCGGGAGGGGGGCGCGCTCCGGCTCGGCCCGGGCTGCGCGCGCCGCCGCCCGGGCTCCTTTGTTCTGGGGCCTCCGCCGCCCGGCGGCTCCGCGGCCCCCGCCCCGCCCCGCCGTCCCCGCCCGGCCCAGCTACACGGTGACCCCGCAGCGCCCCCCGCAACAAAGTAGCGGCCCCTCCGGCCAGCCCCGAGCCATCCCCTGCCCCGTGGCCGCCCCCCCCCCGCCGCCCCTCCCCCACCCCGGAGCCGGAAAGGCACCGACTGCACCGACCTGCCCGCCGCCTCCGGGGCGGAGCGCACAAAGGGGCAAAGTTTCCCGGCCCGCGCACCGCCGCCACCTCCGCCGCCGCCGCCGCCGCTGCCGCCCGGGGCGCCTGGCCCAGCCGAGCTCGGAGCGCGGAGCCCCCGCCCGGGCCGAGAAGGGGACGGCGCGAGAGGAAGGAAGAGGCAGCGGCGGCCGCGGCGGCAGCAGCGGCGGCAATGAAGGCGGCCGCGGGACTCCCCGCCCCCCGCGCGCCGCGGCACGTGCTCGCCGGGGACTCCCCCGCCCGGGAGGGCGCGCACGTGCGGCCCGGCCGAGCCTCGCCGCGGCCCCCCCTGCCGGGCCCGGGGCTGCACGAAAACGGGGAGTTCCCGGGAGGGGGAGGGGGCCGAGCGGGCGACCCGCGAGCGGGTGGGGGCAGGGTCTGGCCCGGGCGCCGAGCCTTTGCACCTGCAGGACCTCACCCCCCCCCCCCCCCCGCGGTCCGCCCTCCCTGGCCCGGCCGCCACCCTGGGGACTGCCACTCCCGCCCTCCCCTCCGGCGCCTCTGCAGCCCCGGGCCGCACGGGGTGGGGCGCGCGGACCTCCCCGCCTAGGCCCTCTCCGAGCCCGGCCCGAGGGCCCCACTTCCTGCCACTCCCTGCGGGCCCAGCGCCCCGGGGAGCCCTGCGCTCCCGACCCCACTGACCTCCCCCCGCCCGGCGGCCGCTCGCTCCTGTCGAGGCCGGACAATGGGGGACATGGCGCGTTTGCGTACCGAGGCCGCCTGCCGCAGAGAGGGCACTCGGGGACAGAGGCCGCGCGGGCCGGCTGGGGGCGGGGGGGCGCGCCTTCGCGGGGTCCCGGCCGAGTGCCCTGCCCGGGCGGATCCCGGGACCCTGCCCTGGCGAGCCTCCCCCTGGCGGCGCTCGGCTCTTTTCGCGTCGAAAACAAAGACTAATCCGATCCCCCCGCCCTGCCTCTCCGAGGAGGGGGGCCGGGCGCGCCGCGGAGGGTAACCAAGGAGGGCAGCGCTCGGGAGGGGCTCGGGCAGCCTCGGAGGGGGCACCACGCAGCCGGAACCTACAACCCAATCGGGCGCACTTTGAAAAGTCACCCTGGGGTATTTTTCAGGCGGGGGTGGGGGGTGGCGGGCAAGGGGCAAGGCAGGAGAACATTTCCAAGTTGCCAAACTGCCCCTTCTCTCTGTTGCTTTTTCCCCCTCACCTGTTGTTCAGGTTGAAATTCCAGGTTAGATTCATTCAACTCCACCCATCTGGCCTGACTGCCAGGCTGGTGCCTGCTGCTGCCTCCCACCTACCTGGGTTGCTGGGGAGAAGGGTGGGTCTCTAACACACACACACACACACACACACACACACACGCACGCACACACACACACTACCACCATCCCACATACACACGATACACACAGGGACGCGCGCGCTCCAGGGCAAGTCCTGGCAGAAAGAACCTGGGGCGGGCGGACTGGCCAGACCAGTTTGGGCGGTGCTCACGGAGCCAGGTACCTGGCAGGCGTCCCTGCCAGGCTGTAGCTAACAAGTCAGCCAGAACTGGAAAAAGAGCACTGGGCAGGCTATTTAGAAAGAAAGAAAGAAAGAAAGAAAAAAGTAACTGATCCCCAGAAGCGCTGTCCCGAGGGTGGTGGAGAAGCCCGGGTTCTGTCTGGAACTTACTTGCTCACAGGCTTGATGTTGACAGCCCGCTGCTCCAGGGAACGGCTGTCTGCTGAGGGGTGGCTGGTGGACGCGGCTGCAGGACTTCCCACCCAGGCCTTCGAGAATTCAGGGAAGTGAGTCCAGCACCAAGAAGAGAAACCGGTAGAGTGTAATTTTCAGACATGAAAACAGGCTATGAACTTGTAATTGTTTAAAACGTTAAACGTTGATGTTTTCAGCCATTTTCTTTTTAATAAGATTATCTTGGAGAAGATACAGAGAATAAGAAGACAAACATTGTTCCAATACAACGTGGAGCCGTTTGCTGCTTTCCCTCTAGCCTTGACTATGTGTAGATTAGTTTCCTTTTTTAATAAAATGGTGTGCCCACGCTGATTGTGCAATTTGCTGTCCTCTCTCACTTAACGTTATACCACAAGCATTTCCCTGTTTATTACACGATATCCAGAGAAACAGTGTGATGAGGAGGCCGAGAAGGTGGCTTGGGAGCCGGAGACCTCTGGGCTCCAGACCCGGCCCTGCCGCTTCCTGGCAGAGTGACCTTGGAGCAGGTACTCACAACCTCCCCAAGGCTCAGGCAATGACCGCAAGGACGGTTTAATCTATAGGACAACTCTGTAAAGTACAGACTATCACGAAATCCGTTTTGTAGGTAAGGGAAACAGATGGAGTAACTTGCCCAAGGTCACTCAGCCTGTACATTGTAGACTCAGAATTTGAGCCCGGAGTCTTCCCTTCTGTATCCTTTCTTGATGAGTGGTCCCAGCAATTTACTGTTGTCAGCTGACTCTTCACCAGCTGTCTGTGAGAGGGTCATTTCCCTAAATCCTCGGGCTTAGGTGACTAGGGGGTTACAGGAGGACAGATGCCTGGGGACATCCGTGTGGAGTTGAGGGTGCACAGACTGGTCTGGACACACACCTGGTCTCCCCTCCTCCCCCATCAGTGAGGAGATGGGAAGGGAGGCCTGGGGGGTGGAGGAGCTCATAAGGCGCGGACACGGAGAAAGAGAGGAAAGGGCAGCCAGGACAGAGCCCTGGGAGCAGCAGCATCTGATAAGGGGCCGGCAAAAGAGACAGAAGGAGAGAAAAACAGAAAGAAAAGCAGAAATCAACCAAATAAAACCAGGCCAAGGTCTGAGACCTGCCTGTCAAGTCTTCTCAACTGCTCCCCCACCCCCACCTTGCACATTGGCAGTCTCCTTGCATGTTCCCTGTCTGGGAAACCTCTCGCACGTCACCCCTTCCCAGCTACCCCTTCTACCTGCCGCCTTCCCGCCCATCCTCCAGGTCTCCGAGCACATGCCCATTCTTCCAGGCAGCTTTCTCCGGCTCCTCCGGTTCCCGGTTCCGGAGCCCCAGGCGCCCCGCCCCCCCCCCCCCCCCCCCCCCCACACACACACAGAACAGCCCTCCCTCCCTGGGGACAGTTGTCTCAGAGGCATTGTCAGAAGCGTTCCCCTCCCAGTCCCTGTGAGCCCCTGGAGGGCTGGGACTCTGTCTGTTCACCTTTGTCACCACAGGAGGTCAATGAGATATCCCAGCCTCGCGGAGGATCCGCAGGTTCCCAAGGGTGTTGTTTGTCCTCCTAACTTCCTGTCCGCACACACCCTTCAGGAGCCCCCAAATAAACCCCAGGTCCTCGCCCCGAGGCCTCCTGTGCGCGGCCTTATCCCCTACTCGCTCAGCGCTGGGGGCAGAGAGCAGTGGGCTACCCGGGGGGCGAGCGGCGTTCAGCTGCAGGCTGCGCGGTCCGCTCGGTTCTCCGTGCAGCTCCAGGACCACAGCATCACCGGCACCTGGGACCTTAACCAGCATCACCAGCACCTGGGAACGTAACTTAACCAGCATCACCAGCACCTGGGAACGTAACTTAACCAGCATCACCAGCACCTGGGGACTTAACCTCCGCATCACCAGCACCTGGGGACTTAGTCTCAGCATCACCAGCACCTGGGAACTTAACCTCAGCATCACCAGCACCTGGGGACTTAACCTCCACATCACCAGCACCTGGGGACTTAGTCTCAGCATCACCAGCACCTGGGAACTTAACCTCAGCATCACCAGCACCTGGGGACTTAACCTCCGCATCACCAGCACCTGGGGACTTAGTCACAGCATCACCAGCACCTGGGACCTTAACCAACATCACCAGCACCTGGGAACTTGTTAGCACGAACGGCCAGCCCGCTCCCGGCCCCACCCTACACCTACTCCAGCAGAAACTCGGGGTGCGGGCCCGGCGATGTGTCCTAACAGCCCCTCGGGTGATGTGATGCTCGCTCCCAGTTTGAGAAACGCCGGCCCAGAGCGAGTTCAGCACCCAGACGGCGGCGGCCAGGATCAGGCCCCGGGCTCTTAGGGGAGGCAGTCGGGGAAGGCTCCTTTGATCCAGGCTTGGCGGCCCCACCCCCAGCGGCCAGGGCTGGGCCTTTTGGGGCCCTGCTTCAGGGAGGTCAGGAGCTGGCGGCGCGGGTGCCCCAAGGGCTAGAAAGGGAAATCCCGCCGCCAGGGAAAGCCCAGGAGGCAGGCACCACGTGCGGACAGAGAGCGTGTCCCTGGGGGGAGGGGGAGGCGGAGGGGGAGGTGGAGGTGGAGCGGGGAAGAAGGAGGCTCCCGCCCGGCGGATGAGCTGCAGTGGAGTCAGCGCTGGGCCAAGGGCATCATCCACTGAACGTGCGCCTGCGGCTCTGGGGGAAGTCACCGCGTGGAACCGCCGCGGCTGGGTGTTTGCCGAACCTGCAAACGATTGGCTGCGACT